TAACTTCTGTCAGAACTCATAAGGAGGATCTGCAGTAGTGATCTGCAGGCAATGAAATTAGTAGTTGGAAGGATTTTCACCTGAGCTACTAATGGAGCAATAAATCACTCCCAAAGTTGCACTTAGAGTGATAATAATCAAGATGAGTGAGTTAATTAGAGATTTAGCTTTAGTGATTCATTTTACATGTATAGTATACTAATGTTTAATAAAGTACACATAATTAGCCTGATAGAGGATAAAAAAAAAAAAAATAAATAAAAAATTTTGTTTTTTTTTAAATTAGAAATAATAAAATTACAATTAATTTAGAATATATAATAATAAATAATATATCTATAATAATTTAACCTAATCCTTCTATAATTTCATAAAATTAATTAAAATAAATATTATAAACAAACTTTTTTCTTAAAAAAAAATTTTTAAAATAATATTTTTGTTTTGTTTTGTTTTGTTTTTTTTTTTTTTGCATTATTTGAGTCAGACTAAACCATAGTTTATTGCAAAATATTGAAAATTTTTAAATTAATTATTCCCGATTAATTAAGATATTTTAGATTTTTATATAGAATACAGTATATCGTCAACTTAAAATAAAAACATGATAAATTAATATTTTAATATGCCAATTTTTTTAAATAAGTCTATATCAAATGGTCATATACAGTATAGCATATGCAGTACAATATACAGTATATTTACTATAAACCATCTATATGAACATAAGTTAAATTCTTTTAATATTGTGGTATGCTGTAAATTAATCAAGAACTGCAATTTAATTTTACCAATATTTATTAATATTTTACAAAAATTATGGTATCGTATACTGTATATACAGTAGTATTAGTAGAATGAAATTATGCAAATATCATTTCGAATTATCCATTGTTAAGAATATAAGATTTTTTTTTACATTGATAACCTTGTTTTAAAAAATCTTCCAATTACAGTATATACCGTCTATCAAGAGAGATTTTTAATTGCTGAAAATACAATTGACTAAACCTCAAACTATCCATTATCTAAAATTACAAGGACTCCTAAGAGTTATTCTTTTTTTTTTCATAATTCACCGATAGATTCTATTCAACGAAGTTATACAATGACAGAATATTGTACATGAGGGATTTTTTTTATCAGTTTGTTACATGGAGTTTGAGAAAGAGTCAGTATAGAATCATTCAACTGTCGACCCATTCAAAATCTTCTCAACTTCTCTTCCCTTAAATACTCTTTGTTTCTTTTCCTCATTCCAATGCTCCTCTTTCGCAACTTCCTCGACGACTACCACAAATTGTTTAAATTCCGCTTCTAACTTTTTCACCTTCTTCTCCGAATCCTCCAACTTTTGATGATCGTACTTTTCCACACCAACCGCCACTGATGTCAGTACCTTAACCAATCTCCAGAACCTTAACAATATCAACAATCCCGCTACCTCTCTCATCTTTCCTTTCAAAAGTATTTCGAGAAGAAATGTAGTGATCACCACCGTTGCATCAAATAAATGAAGTCCCCATCTTGGACCAGTGAGAAAATACCGTATGCCAAAGCAGATTAGATTCAGTAGGACCTCGATAAGGAACAAGGTGTTGATGATAAATGCAATTTCAGAGAGGATGACCACAACATAATGTTCTTCATGTTCATAGCTGATGGGATCGAAAAAGGTTAATAAGAGTATTGCGAGAATGCAGGCGAAGTCGACAAAGAGGAGGAAGAGGATCAGAAAATGGAAGCGACGAGATTCTAAGATTTGTTTCAAGCGTTCTTTAAGAGAATGCTTTCCTGAATTTGTCATTTGACGAACGGGTCGATTTGAACCATTATCTATATTATTAATAATGTTTCGAAAAGCCACGTAGTATCAGCCACCATGTTGAGTAAGGGATTCAATTGTTTATTTGTATTTATAAATACATGTAATAAATATGCTACTTCAAACATTGTTTTCAAAATATTAGAAAAATTACCAGCCATCGCTTCATCAAATAACGGTGATGACATGTTAAAATATTCTTGACAGAGGGTTGAATCAATTTCTGGTTCACCATCAACTCCATTAC